AGTAATTCTCTATACTGATAGGATAATTTCATAAATGAATCAGACATCACCATTAGTCAAATAATAAACAAGTTTAGGTAAAACCATACTTCTATTTATTTACTCAAGTGTATTTCTGTCCACAAGATTAAAGTTTCAAATATATGCTTGTATTAAGCAGATATTTTCTTCGGAACTTTGTTTCTGTTCACTTTCAGGGTTAACATTCTTTTGCTATATGAAGTCTCGTTACAAGGTGTTACAAAACATTAGCAAGTATTGCTGTTACCTAAGCAACTGTCAAGCTAAATCGTGTTCGAATTCAATAACTTTTGTAAATTTGAGTCCTTTGCAAATCCTTCTCGATCATAGCGCTGGACGTAAAATGTGGTTGTTTCCCTTAGTTGTTTTACTGAGTAAATCATTTGAAGCGGCGTTGTTTGCGTGAGAAGAATTGACTTGCCGCTGTAACTTTGAAGCACGCGACCACCCTTAAAATTTTCTCGAAGTGCCGCTTCTTGAGAAAGTTTTCTCCCTTAAATCTCGCAGGAGACCACATTTTCTCTGCCGTGTCGAGCCTCTGGCAATTGAGCGTGATTTTCTCACCATTCTTGGTTGTGTCCACGCCTCCCCCGAAGCCTTTTACTAAAAACCCAGATGTGCTCAAAGATTTAAAATGGCATAAATAGCATGATGGGGCCATGAGACCGGTCATTTTAGAGCGAGCGAGCTTCGCATTAATAGAGAGCCCGATTTCTTTAAGGAAGCCATCCACCAGGGGACTCACAAGCTCCAGCTTGTTGCCTGTGAGTTCCTCTAACACTGGATCAAGGTCTCATCCCGTAGTTGGGTTTATTTTCTGCAAAACGAACTCTCCTTAACCAATGTTTCTCCGCAGAAAACTCCATCTCTACAGAGCTTGTATTCCAAAACCGGTCTCCTCTCTCTGTTTCATCCTCCATGCCGAAGTGCCTTAAACATAGTTTGTTTGGTGTGCTCGCGTTGTCATCATTTGCCGCCATTTTTTAATAGGCCTTTACTCCATTTCCCTTTCCTTTTCGTGCCAACTACCGCTGACGATTTCTGCACTAGCGCCCATCAGAGTTGAGGGAGGAATACCCTAGGCAACCGACCATCATTTGCTTGGGTGTTAGGAATTCATCTACAATGACTGATCTCCGGCTCCATATTCATGATTTCCATGCCCCATATCTCAAGCCACCTCTGCCGCATCTGCTTTGAATCCAGTGTGTTCTCCTATTTTAAATGTCTCTTCTAGGAAGGCCTTCTGCTTAGCACTAAAACGGGCAGCCTTTCTCGAAGATCGCAATGCCCAGCTCTGCGATAACGCCTGAACACCGTTACTNTGCCTAGAATGATTCCTCAACAATTTCCCTTACAAATTTTTCTTTGATAATATATTTCTGCGAACGAATACAACGCATGTTTTAGAGGAAATTTCTTAGTCTATGTATTTAAAAAATGCCTCTAATGCGGGTTTATCAGACATTTTCTCGCGGAATTTGCTTCTACAAAATGTAGGTTTGTGAAACCAGTGCTTAAAGGCTTTATTGAGCCACAGGAAACAAACAACGCAATCGAATCACAAAGTTGGAAAATAACATCAGAATCAGAATTAGCATGATCGTGAAAGATTTCTTGAGAGCTCTGGTACGGCGGCAATCCCCTGAAAGGCTAGGCCACATAGCCTTTCAAATATGGGGTCTGTTTTTTGTTGGGAGACAATTTTCAACGGGCGCAGAAAGAGGGTGAGTCCACAACGAAAAATAAAGGAGTCTGCGGTACTAAGCATAAAGAATACTTGAAAGTGATACGTAACTTCCAATTCCGGTCTCTAAGTATGTCATATTTTCACCAGTTGGCAAGAAAATCGTCTCACGGGGCATGCGAGGTCGACGCCAAGGCATGGCTCCCTCTGTCACCAAGGATCAAGGACAGCATAATGGAGAGAGAAATCAGCTTCTTCCGTGAAAATTTTGACGCTGTTCGCTTTTCTGACGATTACTGTTTCGCAACATACAGTGGTGACGCCGAAAGTATAAATAATCTTGATAGGTATCTTTCCCTAAATTCAATTTCGTTCCTATAGCAAAGTAACTACTGCACTGCTTTGCAAAGTAGGCATTTATCTCATTAAGTTTTTGTCGATTTGTTTCGTGGCCAGAAGTGGTTTTTTATGTAATATTTTGTGTTAATGTTTTTTTTTTTCTTTCAGTCGCTGGAACACCGCAGTTTTTAAAATATACAAAGAGGACGATAATGAGGAGTGGTTGGGTTGTGACCGATGTGGACAATTTTTTCCTGCTAGCTGTCTGGGTGTAGTCTTCGCTTCCTTCTTCAATCAGACATTTTATTAGATTAATTTAATCAATTAAGTCAGGGGTCACAGGCTCACTGCTTTATAATTGTACAGATAAGGCATACGGCGGCAAAGGACAAGTGACGAGGGCAAAAATTATTGTGTGACTCGTAAAAAGTGAGTGACTAAAAGACATACGTGATGCGTGAATCTGTGCAAAGAAAAAAAGCATGGTTGAAAGAAGCCGCAAATAAAATGTGGCGTGTGAATGTTATTAAAACTCGTGAGTGAAACAGGATCAGACTCCCTCCTCTGCTACCCTCAAGGGAGGTAGAGTTTCGCATATGACCGTAGAAGAGACTATGTAGCAGTCTTTCGGGACGGAAGGCCACGTGAGACGATTTTCCCGCCAGCTGGCGAAAATTTGACCGTATTAGAGACCGGAACTTGTTTTGGGTTTGACCGACCGGAAGTTACGTATCACTTTCCAGTATCTTTATGCTTAGTACTGCTGACTCTTTTATTATTCGTTGTGGACTCACCCTTCCTCTACGCCCGTGGAAAATTGTCTCCCGTTTTTGTTACAAGACTGGAGACGTTATAGTCGATTTCACTCGAATTTTTTCCCTACCTTTGGGTTTATTTTTATCTAAGATACCTGAAAAATGTGAAATACTGGCCTTTGGGTAGCCTTTTGGCGGGAGTTAGGTAGCTTTCTGTACCTCAAAATATGCCTCAAGTGGACATTCGATCTTCCTGGAAGAAGTTCAGACGTGCACGATTTGTAAACATACGCTAATATCGGTGTGGTGAAACGTGGAAAATGGTACACAAAAGCAGATTTAAGACGTCAAAGACGCCATAGGAAGCTAAAAAAATGTCCTACCGTGGCGCTACTTAAACAAATCGCTGAATCGAGAGAATTTAGGTGAGTGT